TACTTTCACTTTCGGTTGCTCGATGTCTTTCTTCAAGTCCCTCGTTGAAATATTGTTAGGTCTCTAGGTCTATATATATATATATATATACAGCTGTGCGTGCCCAAGGTATTGCATGATGCACGCTTTCTACCATAAATCATAAAATTTGTCTAATCACTTAAAGTAAATCATGGCACTTAACTTTTTAAGCATCGATGTGGCAGTTTGGTTGAACAGTCATCTGAGAATTATTCGTGTACCATATATAATGTATGCGACTAAGCGTGTTGGATAGAAAGGATCTATGATATCTGTGAGTGGAAAGCTCTGGTTTATCAAAGTTTCTTATTCCGTAATTCATTCATGATAAAATTTTCTATAGGTTTTGTCCGTTCATTTTAGACTATCAGACTACAGTCAATTATTTGAAGCCATTGGCCTCAAGATGTGAATCATTCTTGTGTCGTCCACATGCTTTTCACGTTTGTGTAGAAATTTAACATAAAACTTAAAGTGTAAACCGCCTTTTACTTCGTGTGTACATGTACAACCCAGAAAAATGCACTGGATATTCGAATTTAAAGAAAATGGACAATTAAGAAATTGTCTTTTGGCGTGCTCGGCAACAAAGCTTGAACATTTTATCCGTCTGGTTGGCAAAAAGGCACGAATGAAAATATGAAAGCATGAGCTGTTTTTAAGCTGTTCACATGCGCAATATACGTGAACATCTTTAAAAGGGGGGGGGGGTGCCTGGACAAGTACTTACAAAACCAGGAACTAATGATAAAAAATATGCTTATGTATACGTCAAATAATAATAATAGTTTCTTTTTTTAAAAAAGCTTAAATCAGAGTTATAACTACTGTAATATTTCGGATTTTTCGGATATTTCAGTATTTCCTGAGCAAGGTACGTGACATTTGCGTGCTTTTATAACACCATTCACAACGTTATATTTTATATCTTTTTCTCTTAACTTGCGTCAACTTGCTGATATATGACTACCAAAACAACATCTTCATCAAAGGATGAGGTTACTGCGGGGTTTGTCTTTACCTGAGGAGTAAAGCCACCCCCCCCCCCCC